GGGGGGGGGGAGAAAAGAAAGAAAAAAAAAAGGATAAGAAGAATATTTCTCAGGTCACATTTTTCAGGTCAGTACAGTAATTTGGGTGGACTACATCATCTACTCCGCTCCTTTTTATAGCCCTACCTACCTACAGACAGAGACAGCACAGGGAGGGCCGGCACACAGGAATAATATGGAGAAGGGACTGTATGTGTGGGAGGTGAAGACAAGACGAGAATCGGCCAATGAGACACCACAGTGATATGTAGACAGACGAAACAGCTGGGAAATTAACACCACCAGAAAGCTGCTGCCAAAGCTTAGGTGAATTGAGCAGTCATGATCAAACTTAGCACAAATTTAACAATTTCAAAAAGAGTAGAAGAAAACATACTCAGCTGCTGCTGTAGCTGAGTCAGAGGCCCTCATAGGTGGTCTTCTGAGGTCTTCCCAGGCAACTTACCTCCACTTAGCAAGTAAATTATGATGTTTGATAAAACATTTGGGTCCTTGTTTTTACAGAAGGGAAGCACTTCCTCTTTCCCTTTGATGGTGATTCAAAGAACTAGCAATAACCAGCAATTTTTGAAGACCTTTAGAAAAACCAAATAAATAAGACTGTCACTTTGAAACCATCCTCCACTAAGGCCGCCGCTGTACTGTGCTATTTTAGAGCCACATAAGTTTGAATACGCTCTCTTTGCACAAGCTCCAGCTCTCCAGAAAGTGTCACAAATTTCAGCTTTTTACACAATTTTGCTGAAAAACACGCAAACAGCACTAAAAACCCATGTTTTAGCAATAATAATTACTTCATTTCCTGCTGACAGTGGAGTCATTTGCCAGATAATAGCGTAAACCTGTAGCCACGAGTGTTGAATGTGATGCTTTTATCTACGCCATCATTACTTGTGTAAGCATCCCTCTTATGTCTAGCTTAGTAGCTGGCAGTGCTACCAGTAGGCAGCACTGCCTTACCTGCTAGGGTAAATCTTGTCTGCATGCTCACGTGCACACACTCATGCCATGTGCTGAGGTTAAAAAAATAAATAAATAAAAAATAAATACATAAACACTGGATCTAATCAGACGCTCTATTAGCTAGTGCTCCCTGTGCCTGCCTGCCTGTCTGTAAACACATCTGCTGCGATGGAGATACTGCCTTAGCAGTAGGGCTGAACGATATATCGCATTTGCGATAATATCGCGACATGATCAAGTGCAATTTTCTAACCGCA